GTGTTGTGGAGGGGGGACTGTGCCGGGAATATGCTCCCGGCAGACCGCCCAGGCGGGAGACATGGCGCGAGGAGGGGCGCGATGAAGGCGCGGGAGCGCGACGTGGGGGAGGGAGGGCGGGAGGGACGCTTGTACGGCCACGTGGCATTCAGGGCAAGCGGGCGAGAGGGAGCGTGGCGCGGGAGGGGCGAGGTGCGCGGCGACGACGATGCGCGCGTGCCGAGGCGTCGCGACTGGACTCGTCACTCGCGTTCGCGCTCGCGCTCGCCGCCGCGCCGCTCGCCGCCGCGCGAGCGCGGTTGGCATCCGTCCGATTCGCGGCCAGCTTGGGAGCGTGACGGCCGCCCGCGCCATCGTCCGCCGTGGTCGCAGGACCGAAGATCGGATGACGGGCGACGCGGCCGGTGAACGTGCGTCTCACAGACCGTTCTGCGGCTGGGAATAAGGGTGGCCAGCCCCGCCCCCGACGACGAAAATGGTTGTGAAGTTGGGGTACGGCCAGCCACGAGTCCGACCCTCTCAGTGGGCCCGTCTGTAGGTGGGTCTGTACGTGGTACGGGGTGTCGCAAATATCCTGCGGTCCGCGCGCTTTTCGTGTTTTCGATCGCTTTCCTCCCCCTATGATGGCGCCATCGCATCAGACGGCATTTGGCCCACATATAAGCATAACCGGGAACGGGATAACACCTCGCAATCCGTCACTTGCTATTACCTATTATTCTCGGTGTGTGATTTTAGTTTTTAGCGATTTGACATGCACATGTTCATGTGCATGCACATGCACATGTGCATGTGCTGCCTCGAGCTGCAAAACGAAAAGGACCAGCGGGGAAGCCCCCGCCCTAGCGCCTAGGGGCAGCGTCTCCGCGCCGACTACCGACTAGAGCCGACAGCCCGCTTCAGCCGTGCAGCGAAGATGCGAAGTGTGCAGCGGCTGCGGACCGACGCTCTCCGCTACGTAGCTATACTCCGTGCATCGTCATGCGGGGCCGAGACCAACGGCCTGATGGTATGCACGCACGTAGAACGGTCTGCTACAGCGCCGCGCATGAAACCTCACGCGCACCGCCCGGTACGCCATGCATGCACAGTGAATCAGACGCGAAAACCCCGCCCTCCCCGGGCTGTCACCCAAGCGGGACGGTGCACATCGTGGACTTGAAGCGCGACTTGTTGTCGTCCTCGCTCTTCGACAGCCGGACCGAGTAGGACACGTAGACGATCGTGTTTGCCTCCTTATCGTACACGCGCCGCACCTTCACGGACTTGAAAAAGAGCGACCTGGACTGGCTGAATACCTCCTCGCCCTCGCCATTCGGCTCCACCGCCTCGAGCAGCTTGACTGGCCCGGTCCGAGCACAGGTGACGCTGGCCTGCGTCAGTCAGTCAGTCAGTGTTACACACCTCCTAGCATGGAGGACGGGCCCACACGCTGCACGATTGGCCTGCGTCGGGTCGTTGAAAAAGTCCTTCTGCAGCTTCTCGGTGATTGGTCTCTGGAAATCGGCCACGTACAGCTTGACGCCGGAGACCTAACAGGGAGAGCCAGCCGACCCTGCAGGGGCTATGTCGTGAAGGTGTGCGATCGTGCCCGCGCCCACCTTCGGGTCAGTGAAGCCCTCAATCTTAATCGTGTCCTTGAACACGAGCCCAGATGCAGGGATGTCGGCCACATCCTGAGCAATCGCCTGTCTCGCTCCTCCACAGACGCTCACTGCGGCAAGCGCGCTGCGGAGAAAGGCGCCTCGGGTAGCACCGCGAGTGCTGCATGACGGAGCCTGCGGCAGCTGCACAGCTGTAGCACTGGAGAGCACTAGCAGGAGAAGCATGCTGCGGTGGGCGTTGTCGCAGTGGCTCGTCGAGCTCGGGAGAAGAGAAATCTGAGATCCTGCTCGCGCAGGTGGGGACCCTGTCCTTTCTCCCACCCCTTGTTTGGTGTGTGCGTTTTATTTACTTATTTATTTACTGATTTTCCCATGCGGGCGTGAACACGACTGTGTCTTGTGAGCCTGCTTGTCTGTCTCTGTGTGTCGCTCGTGCGTGTCGTCATCATCTGTCTAGCGTCCACCCATACCGCGTTGGTGTCCAGTCCGAGTCTGGCTGTTCTTCACCTTTCTACCTACCTACTATGACTAACTGACGGATCCGCTCCTGACAGTCGCACGCGCCGCAGCGCGGCGCGTGCGACTGTCTTTGTTTGAAGTTAAAAGTCGAATCAGAGCGCCGACGGCGCTGATCCTCGTTTTCCTCCCACGGACCGCCCATCCGGGACCGCTCCGGGACGCACGCCGGCGAAGCACCATCAAGCTGCTGTACGGCCCCGGCATCGCCTTCCCAGGCTTAGCTCGACTAAGAGATATTGTGGACATGATTAGTCTCTACAATATATACACTGACACTGAACCTCCTAGTACCTAGAGCTCGTCCCGGTCCGTCACGGCCATCCTCGGCCTCTGGAGGGCCCCCGGCCGCGGCGCGCGGTGCGGCGGCGTCACAAATCCGACCACAGAGCACCGGGACGCGGTCGGGCGATCCGAGGCCCGACTAGGCGTATGCATTGCCTATCCAGGGCTATCACCTGTGGACCTATCAACAGGCGCCTGCGGCGCCGTGGTCAGGAGCTGCTGTTCACACTTGTGCACAGACTTTGATACGGCACAGTAGAAGTGGGGGTGTTCATTATAGCTCCGAGGCGGCGTGCCGTCCTCCCATCCCTCCCTTGTCTGTTTTCTTTCTTTCTTTGCTCCGAGTAGAGGGGGCGGTCTGCTGCTAGGGGAAACCCGGAGCGCGGAGCTAACCCTCGGAGACCGTGTTTGTTTACTTTACGGCCCTTTCCCTGCGAACGCGCACCCCCCAGCGCCCAGGGCTAGGGCTCTCTAGCCCGTAACCCGATCCCGATCATCCGGCCCGCTGGGTGCGCTTCTTAGCTCCCCGGCCCTGGATGTGAGGCTGATGACTGCACTCCAAGTGCTCCAAGTGCTCCAACACAACGCACTCTCTTCACATGACAAGCGATCCCACGACAGCGAGTGTGGGGACTACATGGACATGGACATGGACATGGACATGGACATGGACATGGACATGGACATGGACATGGACATGGTCCGTACGTGAAGGGTGGAGGGGCCCGTCCGCAGAGCTAGGCGGCGCGGGCACCCCCCACACTGGGGCCGAGGACAAGAGGCCGTTTGCCGCTTGCTTGTTCTTGATCCAGTTGGTGCGCACAGTGCGCGCCTGCTTGTTGATGTTTGTTTTTCGGCGTCGCCCGCCACCGCCGCCATGGAGATCTGCTGCGTGTGGTGGACGACAAAGGAGGAGGCGCTCGCCGACGCCGCCCCACGATACACCGTCCGGTCCGTGTTGGTGCCCACCGCTTCCTTGGCAAACACGTGGTCGTGGAGGAACTGCTTGGTTTTTTTTAGCAATACCAAACAACTCTAACACTCACACGTCATTTGGGGCCTGGAGCCCTGTTCACGCGCGCGCGAGACGTGCAGTGAGACAGGGTTGCCAGGTGAGAGCGAATGGCGCGGTTCACGCCTCGCACAACAGAGAGAGAGATGCGCTCTGCATGGTGGGACATAAAAGAGAGCGAGTACTTGGGCTAGTAGGCCGTGCGGTCAACGCTGCCGCGCGCGACTTTGCGCGCGAGGCGGCGCAGCTTGAGAGCGGCGGTGGGCGAGAAGCCGCCGCCGAACGTCTCGTGGAGCAGCAGGTTGAAGTTGTTGCGCTTGACAAAGATCGCGTCG